CAACAGCACAAACAATGGTCGCTGCACAAGATGAGATCGGGATCAACGACAGAAGTTTCCCTGGGGGCTTTGACTTAGGATTCTACCACTATATCACAAGGTACTCAGCGTGTGTGCATAGCCTGAGTAGGCGCGTTAATTATTGAGCTAACCGCTTCCATTGTTGATGACAAAAAATAAAATCAGGTATACCAAAATGTTGAATACCTTAGCTTGATTTGGGTTATGTTTAAAAAAGTGTAACGTACGTATTCCCCAAGAATACTTGGGGAAACATCCCTCTTATAAGAGAGAATCAATTCCTGCCCCTTAAAAATTTTGGATGTATTATTCAATTTTTAATTGGCCTGTCGAGTAATTAAAAAAAAAAATTAGTGTGTAAAAGTATTTACATTTATAGTTAATTTACAAAAAAACTAAAAAAGCATGCAAATATGCACTAAAAACATAGGCATACGATGGTGGTATATTTATTTTTGACAGAGACTACATTTAATTTTTCCCCCTTTGAAAAATAAATTGTGAATAAAAATGTATATAATTTTACTAAATTTTTGAGAGTCTAATAATTTGTAAGCTCGGGAAGTACTTAGTCCTTTAAAAACTTAGATGCCCATTGGACACCTAAGACTAAAAATCTATAACAAGCATATTTTGAAAAATAAGAAATATTTATTGTAAACTATAACATTTAAGTAAAAATCTTTAGCAAACAAAAATTAAAAAACTTTTAGTAACCTTTAAAAATTATTTTTGTGACTTTCTGTTTTAAATCGTAACAATAAGTCTGTTAAAATGTAAATGACTATATTTTGAAATATTTGAGTAAATTTAGTACCATTCGATATGATTATTTTAAACATTATGCCTACCAAAAAATTATACTACATAAATAGTGTTCTTTTTATGTTTTTAACTTATAAAATCGAAGATTGTCGACCAATAAGTTTTTTAATATTAACATAATCTTTAAAAGCCTGCTGATGTAAAAGGTCCATATTTATGATTTCATTTATTTCTTCATGTAGATTTAGATTCATAAAATTGTTTAAAATAAACTAATACATAACCAACCACGTTTTGTTCAACAGTGGTAGTGGTAATAATACCACTACTCACTACATTTATACATTTTTTTTTCAATTTATAGTCTAGACACCCTTACACAAAACTTGTGAAATATCACTTAGTAAAATTTCATGGAAAAGCTCTTACAGCTTGTAGCAGTTAGTAAAACAATCAGTGTAAGATTAGTATATTATTTTGATTTTAACATGCTTAATGAAAAATAAAAACTACCGTCAATACTTAGTACTCAATAGAAAGTATAATTTAAGTCAAGATTAATGTGATTATACTATATCAGTTTCTTGGGCTTGGTTTATCTGTGACATTTGATATGACAGTAACAACAGTCGGAGATGTAGATTTCTCAAAGTCAATAAACATTGATAATGCAATATTACTTTTTAAAAATTTGTTTTATGACAATATATTTTTTTTTTACATGCAGGTTTCTGTTTTGTTAACTTCGTTATTTTCTTATATAGATTTTCTACTTTTTTATGACTGCTGTAGTTCACATCAGTGGCGTAATCAAGGTTTCGTCTTGGGATGATGAATACATAAGAAACATACTCCCCCCTTTCAAACGAAAAAAGTTATATCTTTGCCATATAATTATTTTAGTTATGGAGGGGGGACATAACTAAAATAATCCACGATTACACTAGGGGTATTTGTCCTAGAGCGAAAGTGTTTGCGATTATGTTTACGCCTATCCAGAGTATTGTGTTTTAATCACACGTATTACGTCATTAGAACCCAACAGTGAACACTGACCTAATGGATATTATCAGTCAGATTTGAGTAAAGATATATCTATTGCGAATTCGAATAACAATGATTAAAATTAATTCAACAGCAATGGTTCGACGATAACGATTCAATATCATTGGTAAAAGTGCCTAACTATGTAATCTTAATCTTAAATAAAACAACGTGATGGTTTATAATTGTATTATTACTAAATTTGAAAGTTCGCATACACAAACGATATCCTATTGAGCTAATAAACAATAAAATTTAATTAATAGACAGAATTTTTAAGCAAAAAAGCAAAATATTTAACTCATTACAAAAAAAAATATATGTAGTAAAAATGTACAAAAAAAAATATTGGGAAAGTTAATTTTGATATTGTACTATTGAAGTTTAGTTTAATCATGATTATACACAGAAAAATATTAAAAATTATTACGACATTAAAAATTGATATATTGCAAAAATTGTAGCCAATATTATAAATCATTCCTCAATATAAATTATTAATTTATTTTAAATAACTATACTTCTTAAGTAAACTACTACAAATAAAATATATTTTAAAGAAACTTGTTTACCTTTGGATAATAGTATTATTTTAATATTTCTAGAATGTTCGTCATTTGAATAAAAACTATTATGCGTATACTTAAACAAATATATTTTTTTTAGACTTTTTTAAAAATTACAATTTAACATTTTAGTTTTAATAATATCAAGTTTAATTTATACAAAAGGCTTACCAAGTAATTTTTCCATTTCTCTAATTATTAATTATAAACATAATATGTATAATGTAAACAAAAATCGAAAAAAATCAATGACATTCTAATTATTATATTTTTTGTAATACTTTTTACAATTTCACTTCGTAGCAGTATACGGTATACCATATATTATGGAGCACATGTTATACTTCTATGTAATTCATGATATAAAAATCCATACTTAAAAAATTCTTACTAGCCTTCGTCAAATTTTAGTTAATTGTGAAAAATATTAAAATATTTCAATTTCAGAAATTAAAAATGTTTTTAATTTAAGGTAAATTTGTCGCCTTGAGCCAATAAAATACATTTTTGTATTTCATTATAAGTTAAATATATTACTAATAAGTTTTTTTTATAGAAACTACTGCTAATAAAAATAATTTTTTCACTTCTTAAAATTTTTTAATAACATTTTAATACTTCGAAAAAATTATGGTCAATATATATATTAGTTTAAATTTATAATATAAATTTAGTGACTAACCTATATATCTTGTAGTATTTTGGTATTATCTATAAAGTAATTGTTAACTAAAATTAATTCAATAACTTTCTTTTAAATCTTATTATACTTAGACCGATGAAATAATGTCATACGTGTATGCACCAAGAGAGTATTTATTAACAATCGCCTACCAAAAATATTGTATTCAAATAATAAAACTCCAAATAAACTCATTTTCTATCTAATATAAATAATGTATATTATAACAAGATACAATAGAAAAAGAAAATTATACAGTACTATTGTTTATATATCTAATACTTTCTATACATATTGTAGTAGTTTAGTGGACAATTTTTACATAAAAATAGAAAGAGTAAATAGTTTATTATAATATTATAATATCTTCTTGTAATAACAGATAAATATCCAAGGAAAGTGATAGTAGCGATCGCTCCACTTTTAGACCAAAACTATCAATATTTATAATATAAGACTCTAAAAACCTTTATTTTATTTGTTTTTTTGATCATCACTTTGCTTTTTAGGAAAAAAATTTTCTCTAGCATGCTTGCTAAAATTATAATTTAAATTAGTCCCCTCTAAAATGAATTCTAAATATGCCAGTGGCGTTATTTGGGGAGGATCAACTGGACATTTGCTCCAGTCAAAATTTTCGTACAAGCCTTGACTTTTATATATTTTTTTTCAAATGCATTTACTGAAATTTTTTTTGTTATAAAAATTAGTTTAGTGGTTTAATTGTTAAATAAATCGCAAGCGAAGCAGCTGCTTTGCGAAATGATGGACCGATCAAAAGTTTACCCAGTCTAGCATAATTTGAAATGATGCCCTTGAAATATGCTCCCGTGTAATAGGCATATATACCTTTGATAAACTACAATAATTCTTATAAGTTGATATCACACATTGTTTTAATATTTTACGTGCCTTTTTTAGCGGTTCACCCTGCTCGAGAACTGGAATTTTATAATATATAACGCATGTATACGGCTGTCTGCAAAACATTGTTTCATTTTTTTTCTACATGGGAGGCCCACGAAGCCACATTATATATAATGGTCATACTTTAGACGCAAGTGCGAGTGTTGGGGTGGTGGAAAAAAAATAACATGGATAGGCTGTAAGTAGACAAAGAGAAGTATAGAGGTAGTCGTAAATCAATCGAAAAAACGTTGTGCACAATGGACATTGTAGACGGGTAAAGAAGATAACGGCGGCGGACTGTAAAAGGAAGCAGTGAGGTACGAACACGAGAACAGTGGTATCCTCTATTTGAAAATACCAAAGAAGAAAAAATACTCCTAAAGTAGGGGCAACGGATAATGTCACCGAGAGAGTTGCCACTCGCAACGTATACTTCGCACATAAGGATATTGACTTATATATTGACTATATAAGGCCGTGTACTTGTGCGTGTTTTGTGATGGCAATGTGCACTGCAAATGTGCACATTAGCCCGTGACTCGGATCACGCCCAAGTATTTTGAAAATAACTAGTGGTAAATTAAAAAATCCCACGTACTGACCATAAAAATAATTCATTTAAACGCTCTAACGGGAGATGGGTAGGTAATCGATATTCATAATGCGATATTGAGCTAATTTTTTGCACAGCTCTTAACTATCTTAAATTACTTAAAATTTAGCAGAATATACAAACTAAAAACATATGCGTGGTTCTTGCTAATTAACGTAAAACAAAAAAATCCTGATTAAATTGTTATTTGAATCAGGTTGTGTATTAAGTAAACGCCTAAAAGTGCACTGAAAATAAATCAAATAAGAGTGTTTTTTATATCCATTTACCAGGAAATAAAACGTTTTAACACAGTACTCAAATCATAAATATCCAATTAAAAAAAAAATTAATCTATATTTTTTTTTTTAACTGAATATATTTTAACATTACTCAGAAATAAATCACACAACCGTTTAACAAAAACAAATAATTAAGTATGAGCCATTTGAATTGAAAATAAAATGTAACTTCATTGATAATATCTCGAACTATTTTTTCATTACAAATAAAACGGGAATTTTGAAGAGGTACCAATTTGGGTTGAATGGTATGATAGAAATATATATTAAAAATTAATACACCATGTTAACTTGAATAATTTATATTGTTTTAGGAATGTCTCCCAAGTAACTAGTTTTTACAATATAAATTTAAAAAAAAACATATTTTGACATGAGTTTGTAAGTCATTATAAATCAATAACATTTAGATTAATAACTACACAATTTTTAAAATATATTTTAACCAGGATTATATAAATACAGAAAAGAAATTGGCGAATGCAATCTACCCTATCGCTTTCTTGAGTGGAGACTTTAATAGCCACAACTGATGAAATTATGAACTGTTATAAGTAGTAAAATTATTCAATTTAATTGAACTGAGGTCTAAGTGTGAATTGTATAAGTGAATGTTAATATATAATATATATATTTATAATTATTATTATTACAATTGTATAATTAATATATATTAATATATATTAATAAATAAATAAATAAATAAATAAATAAATATTGTGATTCGTTAAATATATTACGCCTCATTTTTTAGTTATTTAATAATTTTTTTATAATTATGAATAGATTAAAACTTAATTTATTTTTATAAACCATTGAAAATATTAAGTATATTGTAAATAAAATTTTGTGAGGTTGATAACTAGAATCGCATAATCTCTAGTGTTTAAATCTTATAAAATAATTGATTGAAAATTACTCCTGCCAACAATTTTTAAAGTGTATAATTTAAGTGTATTTTAATATTAATTTTTTACCGTTTGGGCATTTATCTATGTTACGTTATTGAACCCACAAGCAATCCAAAGTAAATGTTATTATTTCAATAGTAAATTAATTTTTAACTAAGAATACATCATGCAACACATAAACCACGCAATTTACGTTTTAAAAAGTGTACAAATTGCACGCATTAAAATGTAGAACTCAGTTTTTAACCATAAGGTTAGAGGTTATTATTGCGCGTGATAAGTTTGTATACCATTTATTTAGTACGTGCTGCTAAAATAAATAATGATAATAAAGGTTAATTAAAATATGAGCAAAATCACCAGTACCAAGTGTGATGAAATTTTATAATTAAAGATAATATAAATAAAAAAATAATGAGGGTTGAAATATTATTTTGATATAACATTGTTAAATGTATCTTATTTTGTTCTTGCTTCAGTAATGTTTGTAATTAATACTGTTTGATATATAATTTTTAAAAACTGATGTCTATTTATGTAAAACGAATAAAAATAGAACAGATTTGCCTAAGAAAACGCCTGTTCAATAGACGTTAGAAAATGACAAAACTTAGGACAAACATTTTCAACACCTGCTTTAAACACATTTAAATTTTAAATACATTTTTAAAATCATATGTCTACTATGACATTATTTGATCAAATGAATCGCAATACCTTTTTAAATATACTAATAAATGTTTACTTTCATGTATAAATATCAGAGTAGGACACACATTTAAATTTGTAACAATAATATTAAACGTTTTACATCCCATCAATACCATTCATTGTCAGTGTAATTGCAGTTGATTAACGATACACGCAGAAGCCTACAATACAAAAATACCTATATAGGTGTCGTAAATAAAGCATACTATGGTTGGTATATTTTGATCTGGTTATGTATCACATGATACTTAAAAGTTATTAAAACATTCATTTGAGAAAGTGAACTAATGATTTATTACAAGATATTACATGCATAATAATAATAGTGCTTATGGTGAATACATTTTTTTTAAATTTAGTGACTTTTAATTTTGACACATTTCACCAGTGAAAGATAAATGCGAGAAAATCAATATTTTTTACGCAATACAAAAATAGTATGCGTGTTCTATAACCCTAAGCCAGAAACAAGAAACAAAAAGTACATAAAAATATTAAGAGGAAAGATCCTGAGGACATGTGTTTTGTAATTTCACCGAGAAGTAGATATTTGTTACATTTTCTGTGTTTGCAATTTTTTATCTGCAGTTGTCAATTTAGACCATATGATTATAATAGAAAACATGATGAATTAGCGATAATTTGTTTAAAACGGTTTAAAAATATTCTCTCATTGTTTTTTTTTTTGCAGACTATTGGCGTCAGCAAAAATCTAGCACAGACACCAACCGGTTAGGATCTCGGGGCTATACGCATGAAAATGATAACGAAGTAGACCAAAAATTAAAAAACTAACACATATAACTAGATAATATTATAAATTTGTATTGCAAAATTATAAAAATTTCATTAATGGTATTAAAAATTCCTTTAATTATAGACAAAGAAAGTAATTGAAAATATTTTTAAAAAATGAAAAAACGATGTTTTTCAAAATTAATGTGTACAATGGTGTTTTTTATTATTTAACAAAAATAATTTATTTCAAAAAATGATTAATTCTTAACCTTATGGACGTGTTGTAATGTAGTATATACTAGTTGCTGATAAACTCTTATGTTAAGCTGCTCTGGACACAACAGGATCAGAGATGGGTGACCATATGAGAGTTTTTACAGTGACAAAAAGTATCATATTCTTAGTGCAGAAGTCAGTCGGAAACCACTAAACGCAACTCGGTTCCTTAGTATACGTCACTTCAATTTATTCGATGTCAAACCAAACTCTGGTTAATAACCAAACATAACTTTATATTTTTTTACAGATATTTTCAATAGATTTGTTAGATATCCCATAATTATTTATATTATTATAAATAATATAAGTAATTTCACGAAAAATTAACAATAATATATTGGAAAATTAAATAATTATGGCTTAGCGACCTATAGTAATCGATTTAGTTCTCAATATTTGTGTTGTGTATCCATAGTTCTGAAGTAGTAATGCCGAAGTTCAAAATAGTCGAAAGCACAAACAAAATGGCTACCCACCCTCAAGAATCGCATGACATTTTCCCCCTTCATTTCTAATAATTATCTTTCAATAATTGGAAAAAAATGTGTAGGTTTATAAATTTCTTAAAAAGTAAGTTATTGATTATTGAATAATTTTTTTTGATAATTTAAGAAAATCTTTTCTTCTTCTTTTTCTTTTTTAATTTCAACTACTTGGGGTCGGCCACTCTTATCCTGGTATCCATTTCACACTATCTCCCACATCATCTACGCTTATAGCAACCGTTCTCATATCGCATTCAATAACACAATAATTTAAGAAAATATTTTTGAAAGTATCCAAAAATGATAGCACAGTGGGGTCGCGACACAGTGTGGACGTGGCATAGTTGGGAAAAGTATAGATGATATCTGACAGTGATTAAAATCACTATCATAAGAAACGCTTTAATGGAAATCTGTAGATAGTGTTTAATTTTAATAAATTGGTGGATTATTCCAAAAGAAAAATTAACTCCTATTTCCTTCAATATTCCTGAATAGTAGTTTTTTGATTTAGAAGTATAATATATGAATAAATATTTATTATAGCAATTAAATTAGCATGAGATTAATATTATTGTAATTTTTTCGGAGAATTTATAAAAAATTATAAAGTAGTGATTACTCTTATGGCAAACATGTATAAAAATTGAAGGGCTTGGTACAAAAATGTTCAGAAAATAAATGTGGTTAATTATAAATGGTCCACAAATAAAATTCATCTGAGTAAAAATATACTTTTATTATTCAATTTTTCGTGTTGAATTTTGTTTTCCATCTCAAAAAAAAAAAAAATAAGAAAAAAATGCAAAAAAAGTTATTTTGGCTGGAGGGGTTCGAACTTTGTACTCCGGACTTATAAGACTGTATAGTTAATAACACAACCACTGTAAACGTAATGAATAATTTTTATAAAAAGAACTATTTAAGGTAGTGAAAGCTGAAAAAAAGTAGTGACAGATACAAAAAAAATAATTACATCAAGGTAAAATTAATACCTTCACAGTTCGCATCGAAGCTAAAAGTTTAGCCTCGATAGAAAAAATACATAAAAAAAATAAAATGATTTTAATTTTAATTTTGGGCTGTGTTTAATATATTTTACAAATTTTATTTATATACTAAATACAAATATTTTTAAACTAATAACAGACTTTTATTTCATTGCATCGATCGGGCTGTTAACTAATCGGTTAGATTAGTATATTTTGTTCAGTAAACTTTTGATAACTATTATAAAAAATTATTATTCAGATAGTAACGTTTTAGCAACTATATATTTTAATTATTTATAATGGTTGATTTACACATCGAACGTCAAACAACCATCTATAGTTTTTGAAATAGGAAAACTGCCCTGCTAGAACTTAGAGATCGGTGCTACTACATCGACCCCTAAATAATAACAGGTAATTTATCTGAAGGCTAAATTACCAAACTTAATAATCAATTCAAAACAAAACACCTGACGGTTAGTACTATTATGACATCACTATTATGTCTATTAATTTATTTATTAATTAATCTAAATTTGTCACATAATATTAATTTGTTATAAAAAGTATCCACGCCTTTGGTCACGTCTCTTAGAAGAAACCAGTAGCATATTAGTTATTATTGTTCTAACAATGAAACATTATATAGAGAGCATTGACCAATTCTTACAACACCTAGTCTATCGAAATCAACCAGTAGATTGGTTTTCTAAATAATAAATTTACAACATTTTAATGAGATTAGAACTACAACACTGCAAATACGTCTGAACTGTTGTTCCATTATCAACACCAAATACTAGGAATTCATGAAATCAGCTTTGGATATATATTTTTTCATTAACAGTAAATTATATAAAAAAAATTGATCACTTGTAACCAGTGCTCGAATTGGCCAAAAATAAGTAGGGGAGCTCAACTTAACAATTTGAAAACTGCGTCCTTAGTATTTATTAATAAATCATATTTCATTATCATACTAATATTTAAAAAAAAAAAAAGAGGTGGTATTTTCCACCGTCCTCCCGTCCCAATAAAAAAAAGTAGTTGGGGTGCGCAAAAAAATTTTAAAAAAAGTAGAGGAGCTACGTCCCCCTGCGCACCCCCCCCAATTCGAGCACTGCTTGTAACCAGTGGTTAAAATGGGAAAAACTATGAGGGGGGCTATAGTTCCTAAAAAATGAAAAGCGTTCTCGAGCCACACCGAATTGTCCCCCCACAAAGGGTAAAAATGATATTAATCATAGTAAGCAAATATACTTACTTGGTAAAAAATATTATCTCAATAAAGGAATAGATTAGTACCTACTTATAATTTTTGTTATTTCATTAAAAATCAATTAGAAATGAATATTATACAAAGCATCACAAAGTGTGTATTAAAATTTTAAATATTATACCATAATAGAATCAAGTTGAGAAAAAAATATTTACAATAACTAATTTAGGTAGATATAAAAACATATAAAAATATGAAATGACAAATATAGT